AAGTCTATAATGAGAGTCAGTACACTTTTTTTAATCAATTAGTGTTCAAGGTAGACTCCTTACTCTAGGCAAAGCTTGTTCAAAAATGGGCAATAATTGAATTTTAATGAGGTCAGTTGTTTGTCACAGATTACAGCCATCTTTTTTAACATTACTACTTCACTAAGCCAAGACTTCTTAAGGGAAAATAAGAAACACCATATCCTGTTTATGTGTCTTGTCTCAGAAAGAGAACTGAGTGTCCTTCTTACACAAGAAGACATTCGTTTTCAAAACAGTAGAATGTGATTAATTGTGTCTTGATTTTGTTTTCTTTTGACGTGGTCAGGACTATTTTTAATTTATATGTAATGTTTTGATAAAGAAATTTGGTATCACCCCCACCGAGTTGACACATATTTTTTCATCAATATGCTGCTAAAGGAGCAATTGTATTGTACCTTAAACAAAAAGAAAGAAAAGTCAATAAATAGATCTTTTTCAGGATATGATTTACGACAGCAGTTCTACAAACTATGTTTTTCTTTGCCAAATAATTCCTTTCAAGTGCTATTTTTTTAAGAATTATGTAATGTCTCTCATTTTATGCCAGAAAAACAGCCAGGATAAGAATTTGACATCACATACATGGTGAGAGCGTGGAAAAGATTCTGAGAATGCTATTTACCTCCACACAAAAGGTCACAGAATTAATTCTACAAGTCAACATTTGAAACTGCCTGGCTGAGAGCCTTGGGTATTTGGAAAATTAATGTGTGCACTCAAAGTGTACGTGTGCATACACTTCTAATAAACCCTTTCACAAGGCAGAGAACATTGTGTCCAATGTTACAACTGCCTTTTTAAGAGAGAATTTTGTAAATCTTCACGATCATACTTCCAGTATCACTTAACTTAGCTGAGCAAGGAGAAAAATTGCTTTTGAACATTGAACTCTATGAATTATTTTAGCGTGTAATGGCCTCTGATTCAAATGAATTACTGAACGATCCTCCTAAGACATTTAAAAAGTCAGCAGCTTCACATGTCTGTCCATTTATGGCTTTCAAATTATGTTAACTGGACCTAACACACTAAGAGTATTCACTGTAGAATATATATTCTTACAACTTTATGTCTCTGGTCTATATAAAAATGCTATTTTGGAGAATGTAGTTATATAGAGTAGAGCTGCTGGTCATTTTTGTTAAAGCTTAAATAGTTCTTACATATGATTTGATTCAGTCATCTTTTCGCAGACACTATAAAATTTTCGCAGGGGCAAATGAAGGAGTCTAGGAGTTGTTGAATGTACTAATAATCATTAATAATTAACATGTATTGAGTGTTTGCTATGTGTCAAGCACTTGTCTAAGTACTTTACATGTATTAATTCATGTATTGCCCACAGCAACTCTCTGGAGTAGGTACTATTATTATCTTCATTTTAGAGATAAGAAAACTGTAATATAGGGGGGGTTGAAGTAATCTGCCAAAGTTTAAGTAACTAATTCAGCTCCCTAGCTCACTAATACCACTAATCCCACTAATAACACTGAATTTTAATGGAAATACTTTCAATAAAAGAAGCTGCCTAAAGAGTTCTCAAAAAAGAACTTCATTTGAATAAACTTGAGTTTGGATCTAGGCCCTTCTCTCTCAGGTCCAGGAACTACAAATTCCCAGTAATTCCTGAAGAGATCTGGATAATATCATCTTCTAACACTACGTCTTCAAGCGTGATGATTTATCTGGAATACCAACCTACTAATAGGCTTTGGAAGTGGGGGGAGAGCCTTCTGAATGAGCAGAATGCTGATATGCACCACCTAGGTTATCCTTTGTGTGAAGCCAAATCAGAAGTTTCTTTGATGAGCACGGAATTATATCATGGATATTCTAGAGAGTGATTTCTTGACCCTTACGAGATCTGGTGAAATGCCCTAGGAACTTGACTCTAATAACTAAATTTTAAGTACTGCTGGATGTTCCTGACAACCTCTTCAGTACGAAGACGACTGAAAGTTGTCACCTGGGATTGCTTCCTTGCGCCCTGCTTTTCCAGGTTTAGAACTCCAATTTGCCTCTCAAATATTCTATGTGATTTTGGTGGAAAGATACCTTTTGGCACTTGGTATTAATTTTATAGAACCCACTCTCAAATTTATTTTTGGGAGGAGTCTCCTCTGGATATGTAGACTCTTCTAGACATCCACAGCCCTCTCTAAAGGAATAGATAGACAGACAGATAGACAGATAGATAGATAGATAATTATGGTATGTTTATATATACAACTATCCCCCACCCTGAAAAAAATTTCATATACAAGAGAATAGCTCTTTCATAGTAAATAACAAACCTAAGCTGGAGAAAATTTTATTTGAATAGAGTTAGTCATTACCAAAGCAACAATGTTTTCCCTAAACAACAGAATATTAATATGATGCGATGTTTCCTTTAAAAATAATTATATTGAATTCTTTCAGATTGACATTAACACTTTCCTGTCCAATGGATCTTAAGAATTTTCCAATGGATGTACAAACATGTATAATGCAACTGGAAAGCTGTAAGTATGAAGATTTACTTTTTCAGAATATTCTTAAAATATAATAGCTTATATCTAAGCTGTTAATGGCTTACATGGATAATTTATTTTGTAATCATTTTGGTCACATATTTACTAAATAGGTATGTAATCTTTCACCAGGTATTGAAAGTAATGATATTTATCAGCACATGCACTCTATACTATGAGAGAGAAACAAATTAGGACCTCGAAATAACAGTTTTTAAACTTGAAATCAAATATGTGTCTCTATACACATCATCAAAAGTAAAAAGGATGATAATCATTAAAAACCAACTACCATTTTTTATGACGTGCCTCCTGTAGACCAAGTATTATGTACATATTATTTTTTACACTGGCAACAAAGACATTGTTACCGTCACGTTTTCAGATTTAGAAGTGGGCATTTTGAATGATTCAGTATTGTGCCCCAGTTCACAGAGGGGATAATGATAAGCAACTGCCTCCAAAGCCTATGCTTCTTCTGTTAACTAACATTTATTATTTTAACATTAGTCTACTGGGTATGTTACGCACATTATCTCGAGAGAAAAGAAATTTCTCACACTTTATCACAGACTTATCCAAGCTTTCAGGCGTTCCTCTAAATTTCTTCTTTCAAAGTGGATCCATATGCATCACTGATTAATATTAACACAGATGAGAATTTTAGGTCCTTCTCTTTTTCTGAACTTATCTATATAATCAACCCTCAATTAATTGTTTAAACTGTTTCATTCCATGAAAAATGTGATCAATACATATTATTTTTTCGTGGAAATATGTGATCTCAGAAAAAAAAAAAGAGAGAGAGAGAGATCTGTTCTGACATATTCCTTGAGGAAAATTTGAAGGTGGATCCTCAGACTTCGGGTGTCAGAGGCGAGGTCTGTAGTGTGGTGGAAACGTCACTAGATGGCGTGCCTACCTTGTTGGGGAACGTCACCATCCTTCACCCTCACCGTG